ATAGTGAACAACATAAACTGATGAACAAAAATAGATCCAGAGACAGAGAATCATCAACTGTCAAACCTCAGAGGGAAGGTGGTGGTGGTGGTGGTGGGATGGGTAAAGGATCAACCAAAGGACTTGTATGCATGCATATAAGCATTACCAATGGACACAGACACTAGGGGGGTGAGGATGTATGCTGGGGGGTGGGGTGGGAGTGGCCGAGGAGAGGTCAATTGGGGGAAAAATAATATTGTAATGGCTATGTATAGGCCAAGGGAGGTACTTGAAATATCAAGGGGACCACTCTGTAAAGTATATGATTGTCTAGCCACTATGTTGTACACCTGAAACTAATACAGAATAATATTGAATGTGAAAAAATAAAAATAAAATAAAAACATTCCCATTTTGCAAAAAAAAAAAAAAAAAAAGTAACGACAGGCCCTTTGGCTCAGTGGATAGTCTGTGGAATTGAAGGGTCCCAGGTTCAATTCAGGTCAAAGGCACATGCCTGGCTTGTGGGCTCGATCCCCAGTGGGGGGGGCCTGCAGGAGGTGCAGGAGGCAGCTGATCAATGATTCTCATCATTGATGTTTCTCTCTCTCTCCCTCTGTAAAAATCAATAAAAATATACTAAATAAACCCCACAAACTAACGCTAGTAATTGCTAAGCTGAACTTAAATGGACTCACCCTTTAAAAAAAGTTCTTGAGTATTTTGTTATATCCTCTGCAAAACTTCTCATATTATTAATTTGCTTAAGCTAGTTAAAAAAGATACAAGTGACTATACTAAGAATCGCTGGGCTACACATTTTAAAGGGTGAATTTTACGTTATATGTGAATGACATCTCAGAAAGACAAAAGGCAAAAAATGATGAGAATAAAATATTAATGACTACACACACATGTAAAAATGCCCCTCTTCAAAACGATACAGAAAATTTGTCTAAATCGTCAGCATGTGTCTCTGAGGCGCCTACTGCGTGCCGCGCCGGCGGTGCTCTTTAGACAACACCGAGCAGGTTTTCCAGATTGTTAGGCAAACAGATGAGCCCGTCCCGGCAGCTACGGAAGCACAAGCTTCGATCCGGACCCACGGGGCGCCGACCTGCAAGTCGCGGACCCGAATCGCTAAGGTTCACCACCCCTCCCGCCCCCGCCCCGCGAGCACAGAGCGGAGGGCCCAGCACCGCCCGCAGCTCCTCTCCTCCGGCCCCCACACCCCCCC